ATATCTGACCTGCGGGATGACCCACATAGCTCAGCACACCCCTCCTGACCCACCCACTGCTCCCCTCAGCAGTTTATTTCAGTTCATCTGTCTGTTCTGCTCCCCATTCTGCCTCTGGTGAATACTTTCACCTACCGCACCTCTGGCCTGTACCCATTGTTGTATGCATGAATAAATAAATCTTCTTAAAAATAAATAAAAAATAAAATATGTTCAAGTGAAAAATAAACAAATGAAAAGATGTTCACTATAAAGAAGCCATCTGAAAAATAAATATTAAAACTATTGTAATATACCCCTATACACTTATCAGCGTAGCTAGTATTTTTTAAAAAACACTACTAGGTGAGGTAGAGGATATAAAATATTACTGTTGTAGTGTAAAACAGTACAACCACTTTTTAAGAGTCTGGCAGTTCCTTATAAAGTTAAATTTGTACTATACTATATGACCCAACAATTCCACTTCTATATGTTATCCAAGAGAAATAAAAAAATATGTACACAAAGCAATTTGTACAAAAATATTCATAGCAGTTTTATTCACAAAAACTGGAAGCAATTTAAATATCTAACAACAAATGAATTGACAAATTATATGGTATATCTGTACAATAAAAAGAGTACTTAAAAAAGAAAGAAAGAAAACCTAGTGGCACATGCAATCACGAAGGAATCTCTAAATCACTAAGCCAAATCAAAGAATCCAAACACAAAACAGACGTATAGGACACTATTTCCATGAACTCCTAAAGTTGGCAAAACTAACTGTGATAGAAATTGCATCAGAGGTTGCCTCAGGCAGATGAGTGATTGACTGCAAAACAGTATGAAGGAATTTTCGAGAGTGATGGAAATTTCTATATCTGGACAATTACATGGGTGTACATAGCTATATGTTCAAATATATGCACACTACTACATGTAAATTATACCTCAATAAAGTTTAAAATGCATTCCAAACAATTATAAATCCTATGCTAAATAAATACTGAAATACTATAGAAATATAGTATTAAATATAGAAATACTATATCTATTAATATTTGTTGGCATTGCAAGTAAAATATTTTTCTATTTACATTTCTAGGTGGCTACTGCTAGAAAATAAAAAGGTTACCGCTATGTTATTTTTCTTATATCCATAACCTTCTCAAATTTCCCTATTCTATCATGGGTTTCCTAGGCATACAATAGTAATAAACAGCAAAAAGAAATAGCTTCATCTCTCTTTTTTTAAGTTATATTTACTATTTACTGAGATAATGATGATTTTCATCAAAATATGTCCTGGGGTACAGGTTTACACCTCTACAATATTATATTATTTCACACACCCACTACCAAGTTCCAGTAACCCTGCATTAGACATCCCTTTCCCCTTTGCTCCCACCCCATCAAATGCCCTTTCTGGTATACTTAGTCTTAGTCCTTGTGCTCTTCCCCCTCCCATTTCAGCCTTCCCGTTTTTTCATGTCCTTCCCCTTCCCTCCTAAATGCTTCAGGTCTATGTTCAGCTTTTAAGGTTTATCTTTTTCTGCCCTTATGTTTGTTTTTTCTACATTCCATATAGAAATAAAACCATCCAGTATTTTTCTTTCTGGCTTATTTCACTTAACATAATCCCTTCCAGTTCCATTCATGTTGCAGAAAATCTTTGTTGATCACTGAATAGTAGTCCATTGTGTATATTTACCATACCTTCCTGATCCATTGGGGCTTCTAAGTTGTTTCCATATCTTGGCTATTGTAAATAGTGTTGTAGTAAACATAGGAGTGCATTTTTCCTTTTGAATTAGTGTTTTTCTATTCTTTGGTTAGATATTTAGGAGTGAATTGCTAGTCATAGGGCAGGTCCACGGGCAGGTCCATTTTTATTGTTTTGACAAACCTCCACACAGTTTTACATAGGGCCTACATTCCCATGAATAGTGTATGAGGGTTCCTTTCTCTCCACATCCTCACCAGTACTTGTTTTCAAGTTTTTTTCATATGGGCCATTCTCACAGATATAGGGTGATATCTCATGTTTGATCTGCATTTCCCTGATGATAAGTGATACTGAACTTTTTTTCATATGCCTGTTGGCAAGCTCTATGTCTTCTTTGAAGAAGTGTCTCTTTAGATCTGTCCATTTTTTGATTGGGGTATTTGTTTTGTTCTTGGTGAGTTTTATAAACTCTTTGTAGATCTTTGATATCAGCCCCTTGTCAGATGCATGATGTATAAATATTTTCCCCCATTCAGTAGGGTGTCTCTTCATTTTGGTTATTATCTCTTATGATGTACAGCAAAGGAGATAAAAGACTTATATAAGGAAAACTTGAAAACATTGCCAAAAAAAGATAAGATATGCCCTGCTCTTCAATAGGAAGATTCAGCATTGTCAAAATGACCGTTCTATCCAAGAAATTTAGCTTTTTTAGTGCTGTGCTTTAACCCGCTGAGCCATAAGGGAGGGCCCACTATCCAATCAATTTATATATTCAATGAAATCCCAATTAAAATTCCAAACACACTCATACTGAAACTCACATAAAACCATAAAATATCCCTAATAGCCAATGCTCTCTTGTCAAAAAAGGAGAATGGCACTATCACACTTCCAGACTTTAACCTATACTATAAAGCCCTGATAATTAAAATAGCATGGTACTGGAACAATGTCAGTTTGTTTGACACAGAGAGACCAATGGAATAAAACTGAGAGTCCAGAAATAAAGCCACATTTTTATGAACAATGAATTTATGAGAAAGGAATATAGTATATATGCTGGAACAAGAAAGTCTCTTCAGCAAAAGAGACATTAGACTTTAACCAAAACAAAGAGACACCTACTGACTGAAGAAAAAAAATTGTACTCCATACAACTGGTAAGGGACTGATCACAAAGATCTACAAAGAGCTCACAT